GACTCACCTCACACCTGAACGCATCACGTCCCACTGACTCACCTCACACCTGAACGCATCACGTCCCACTGACTCACCTCACACCTGACGCTGCCGCTGGCGTCCGTCAGCCTCCACTCTCCGGCCCTTCCCCCTCTCAGACAGCCAATCAGCAGCAGATTGACCCTCGGCAGAGCCAGGTGACCCGGCAGAGAAAGCTCCGCCTCCTTTTCCCACGCTCGCTGCTGATTGGTGCTCCAGGACGTGTTGCTGACACAGGCCAGGTGCTGCTGAGAGAGCAGCTCAGAGATGGACACTAGTCTGGAGGCGGAGTCAGGAATAATATTAATATTGTTATGAATGATAATAACCATAATAATGCTGATGCTCTTTGGTCTCACCTGTAGCTCACAGGTAACAGGTGTGTCACACACATGTTCTCTTGGATCTTCTTCACCACACACACACCTGAAACACACAAAGAGACGTCATTCACGCTGTCTGATGTTTAAACCACTCTAGCAGCTCATTGGCTGACTGACCTGTCATTACGTCACCAGCAGGTAGAGGGGCGTGTCCAGAGAGCTCCAGGTGTTGTGAGACAAATCTGAACACCTGCTTTAACCAGCCGGTCTCCTGCAGGAGGACATTAAAGACATTAAGGACATTTAAAGACATTAATCTCTCTAATAATGTCTTTATCAAGGATCACATGTGAGCAGTTTATAACTCTACAACAGTCTTTGTTCTTCTTCTGTCTTCACTTTGTAGCTGCTAGAGAAACTTTATTAAATATTTATATTTATAAAGTTACTTACAGCTTCCCCGCTGGGTTGGAACTGATCCAGGAACAGCTGCAGGGAGTCCATCAGCACCTTTACGTCACTGACGGCTGATCTCAGTATCGATTACTTGTTGAACATCAAAGGTTCAGAGAACCACGCTGTAAACAAACACGCAGCGATCACTGATCCCGCGGGAAAAAGCCCTCAAACTGTACTTCCTGTTGAACTACGGTGTCCGCAGAGGCTCAAAGCACACGGAGAGTTTGGTCCGCGTTTTATTGATAAATGTGTAATTCATTAATAAAACAATCAACATACCATAATATCTCTGTTTTATAATTATATAATTACATTTTATGAAATGTTATCATTTCTGAGATCAGAGGAAATGTTTTCTCACCAAATAAAAACAATCAAACAACTGGACCTTAAAGCATATTTAATTAATATAATACCAACATAATAAATGATAATAATAATAAACATAATAAATAATATTAATAATAAACATAAATAATAATTATGAAAAACATTGTTTAATGTTATAACAGTTAGAGAATAAAATGATATTTTAGTGTTATAATGTTTTAGTGTTAACATCGTGCAGTCACAAACATAACCATCTTCATCTCTCTGCCGCTGTGTGTTGACCCTCCCCCTCCTCTTCACCGATTGGCTGGTTGATTTGACAATCATCTATTCTGACCAATCGGACGCAGACTGTACGTGTAGAGTTCCCGCACTGCTGGCGTTGCTGGGCAGGAGGAGCCGTGTAGCAACGAGTTTTGACCTGCGGCTCCGTAATCCAATCACAGACGAGTACTCAATCAAGCTCCGCCCAGGTTGGCCCGGCCGTGTTCCCGCCCTCTGGATAGCAATGACCAACGGGGGCGTTACTGGGGGGCGTGGCAGAGCTCGAGCTCGAACCATTTTAAAATAGACCCGACGTCTCCAGTCGCTGCTTCAGCCCCCAAACAACAACAAGAACCGACCCACAGTCTGCTTCAGCCACAACAACAAAACACAGAAAAGTGATCCAGAGTCTGCTTCAGCCTGCAGTCCACACAAGTGAGTACAGCTGGCCTGGGGTCACATTTATCACAATGAGCGGCCTCTGATTTACTCTGCAGAATCCTGTCATAAAAAGGTCCGTGAAGAAAGATGGACAAACAGGAATAAAATGGCCGCTGCTCGGGTCGTAATAAGTGTTCTTCTGTCTGGACCCGTCTGTTGGTGTCTCTGCGGACTGTTCGTTACGTGTCGTTGTAAACACAAAACGCCCATTTAAAGAGTGACTGCAGGACATAGCCGGGTCCCGTCCACGCACCGTTGACCTCTCCAGAGCATAGACGGGCCCTACGTTGTAAATGCGTAGCTGAGCGTTCTGAGCAGATTTACGTTGCAAACACATGCGTGTTTCTGATTAAAAACGTCTCTGTGGTTGAACGGTAATATATATATATATACTGTGTGTGTATATATACTGTGTGTGTGTATATATAACTCGTCTGTTATTGTGGGTTACAACCGGTGTGTGATTTTAAACATGGAGTGTTTTTCTCCGCCTGCTACCTAACGTTAGCATGCTGCTAGCGGAGGGGGATGGGCCGGCTAGCTCCGCAGAACGGCGGGAAAGCAAATGGTGGCTCATTGTTCTGTCGGAGCTAGCCTGTTAGCACGGCTAAGCTAACTGCAGCAGTAGTCATTGTTCTGTGGTAGCTAGCCTGTTAGCACGGCTAAGCTAACTGCACCAGTCAATGGACGTCCATAGAAGACGCGGCTAGCTGTAGTCTTCGTTCATCTCTACGGCTCATAGACCTCCATTCGCAGGCGGAGCGGAGGGACCGGGCGGGGGTACGTGGCGCCTCCAGAAGAGGGTCCGGACTAGCTCGGTCTGGTTCGTGGGCCTCCTCGATGCTCGGATGATAAAATGGACCCCACTTTGTTCTCTTTGTTATTCACAATCAGCGCGTGAGACCAGCCGTTATTTAACGGACATTTAACGGAGACTAACTATTGGAGGACGGACAGAGTGGATGTGATCTTTAAACGTGATTATTAATAACAGTTATTAAAACATTATGACTAAAACCAGACATGTAGGTTAAAGGGTCATTCCACACAGATGCTGTTACATGTTTTAAATCAAACGGATTATTGATCTATTTGTTGTGTTTTATTCATCTTTTAATGTGTTTATAGGTTTGTGTTTAGTTCAAATATGGAACTTAATGATCTATTTATTGATCATAAACCCTTTTATCAATAATCATTACATCACTACAATCCTCTTAATCCTCTGTCTCTATTTTAACATTTCATGAATCAAATGATTAATTTATTAACTGATCAATGTGATCAGCAGGTTGAACTGTGTCCTTTGTGTTGATGGACGGACACAATGATTAATACTATTATATTAATACTTAACATAGCTAACAGTGTTATTCATGAGTTAGTTGTCATTTGTACTGGACGTTGTGTCCAGTGTGATGAGAATAAAATGTACTATTACTGTAAATCCATCAGAACTGAACCATTGTGTTGTTTTAATGTCTACCTGTCGTCCGTCCAGCAGGACGCCAGTATGATGCGCAAAGACGTCAACAAGCCGAAGGGGAAGACGTCGGCGTACGCCTTCTTCGTCCAGACGTGTAGAGAAGAACACCGCAAGAAACACCCGGAGCAGTCCGTCAACTTCGCTGAGTTCTCCAAGAAGTGCTCCGAGAGATGGAAGGTGAGACAGGTGGACGGGGGAAGGTGAGACGGGTGGACGGGGACAGGTGAGACGGGTGGACAGGAACAGGTGGACCGGTAGACGGAGGCAGGGACAGGTGGATGGGTAGACGGGGACAGGTGAGACGGGTAGACATGTATACACATATAATAACATAACTGTTAACAGGACATGTTAATGCCTTAATGTCAGTATATATTAACATGTAATAATATATTAATGTCGGTATATAAACATGATTACTAACATGTAATAACGTGTTCATGTCAGTATGTATTAATAACGTGTTGGTGTTGTTTCAGGGCCTGACTGCTCTGGATAAGAAGTGTTTCGAGGACATGGCGAAGGCCGATAAGGTGCGTTACAACAATGACATGAGAGACTACATCCCACCCAAAGGCTTCGGGAAGAGGGGCCGCAAGAAGAAGGACCCCAACGCCCCCAAGAGACCCCCGTAAGTGTTCAGACCTCCAGACACCTGCCTGAGCCTCCGTGCTGCTCCACCCGGTCTACCTGTTTAACCCTCACACGCCCGTGCGTGTGTGTGTTGCAGGTCTGCGTTCTTTGTGTTCTGCAGCGAGTACCGACCCAGTGTGAAGCAGCAGTACCCGGGTCTGTCCATAGGAGACTGTGCCAAGAGGCTGGGAGAGCTGTGGAGCAAACAGACCCAGACCGACAAAGTGCCCTTTGAGGAGAAGGCCCAGAAGCTACGGGAGAAGTACGACCGGGTGAGTGGCTCTGAGGGGGAGAGACATGAGGAGAGAGGGGGAGAGACATGAGGAGAGAGGGGGGAGACAGGAGGAGAGACGAGAGGGGTGAGACAGGAGGAGAGACGAGGGGGGTGAGACAGGAGGAGAGGAGAGGAGAGGCGAGGTAGAGAGGGGGGAGACAGAAGGCCCAGAAGCTACGGGAGAAATACGACCGGGTGAGTGGCTCTGAGGGGGGGGGAGGGGTGAGATAGGTAGAGAGAGGGGGGAGACGGGTAGAGAGAGTAGTGGATGTGTCCACTCAGCTTTAACATAATTTTCATTATTAGAGACTGTAAACATCAGTTGTTACCGTTTGTTACTGTTATGACTGTTGTTACTGTGTTATAACGTTGTTATGACTGTGTTATAACGCTGTTTAACGTTGTTATGACTGTACAGTGAAGAGACTCTGAAGCTAACGGCCTGTCTGTCCCTCAGGACATGGTGGCGTACCGCGGCGGTGGAACAACTTATGCCAGGAACCCCGGATCTTCAGCTCAGGGAGGACAGGAAGAGGAGGATGACGAGGGGGAGGATGATGATGATGACGACGATGATGACGAGTAGAGAGGAAGAGCTGCAGCTGAATGAGGTGTGTGTGTGTGTGTGTGTGTGTGTGTGTGTGTGTGTGTGTGTGTGTCAGAAGGTTGACCTGAATCAAACAGCAGCATCGAGACTGCTGAACGTTTACGACTTTAACTGTAAAACAGAATAGAACATGAATCTATGATGATGGTCACATGACCACACGGAGGCTACAAACATTTAATGTGATTTTAAACTTTAATCATCTGTTCTGAACCAGACAGACACACACAGGTCGCCCTGAAACACACGCTGTGTGTGTGTGTGTGTGTGTGTGTGTGTGTGTGTGTGTGTGTGTGAGGTCATCAGATGTTAAACTGTTGAACAACAGTACAGTAATCCCCCCCCCCACCGTTACCATGGTTACCCCAGCACCCCCCCACCCCCCTGTGTGGTACCATGGAAACCTAAGCCCCCCTTCCTGCTCTTCATCTTCACGATGATGATGATGATGTTGTTTTTTTATTTTCTTACTGGAGGTTTATTGGATGTTTTTTCTGTTATTTGTTCTGTCGGTGTAGAAACTTTTATAATAAAACGACCACCTGAGGAAACAACACTCGTCTCTTTGTCTTCTTCACTGTCCACCGACTGTCCACCAACCGTCTGTCCACCCGTCCACCGACTGTCCTCCCCGTGGACCCTGGCCCTTATGTTTTCACACAGCTGTCCCTCATCCTGTGGTCATTGGTCGTTGGAGAGTCTGACGTGGTTCCGTGTAACACGATGTTCTGAGCTCTACAGATCAGATGATCTTCTCATGTTGTGTCACATGTCACTGGAGTGATGTAACACTCTCCTCTCTGGACTCAAGAAAGGTGACGTCACAACAACACCACCACACAAAGAGGGCGTGGCCTCATGACGCAACGTCAATATGCAAAATTAATCATTTTAACTTGGGCGAGAAATTCTGAAAATTGCGGGTTGTAGTCTTTGAACCGGGACGTGTGGCGGGTTGTAGTCTTTGAACCGGGACGTGTGGCGGGTTGTATCATGTCTCTCCATTAACCACACAGACGGGTTGTTTTTGTAGTTTTTTTTAAATTTCTTTTAATTATTTTATTGTTTGTTAAAAGGACATTTTCAGGCAGGATAAATCAACCAATCACAAAGAAGTATCATATGACATCACACAGCAGGACGATCTGACTCTTTAGAGGAAGACGATTGGTTGAGAGCAGTACAGGTGGGGATTGTCACATGGCCTGGTTGTCATGGTATCAGTTGTCATGCTCACGTGATGACAACAATAAACAAAGAAACCAAAAAAAACACGTAATGACTTCCTAACTCCTTAAGTTACTAATCAACCAACGATACAAAACATAAGAAAAGATGTGACATCAACATGTTGCCATGGTTACTAAAGCTAGTGTCTGATTGGCCGTGGATTCAGCTGCTTCCATGGCAACACACAAGGAGAACGACCAGTTAAAATAACCGGTAAAACTGATGTTTACAAAAGACAAACACTTTATCATGAATAACCCAAATAAATAAACAAACATGTAATAAACATCTAATAAATAAATATGTGACCTGGGCCCCGTTCGTGGCTAACTGAGTTAGCTGGATCATTTTCAGGATAAGATTACATAAATCAGGCTTTTCGGTTCCACGAAGCAAGTTCGGCAAAATCACCATGGCAACACATCCATAAGCTTGAAGCTGCTCCAGCGCAGGCTGACTGAAGGTAGCTGGATAAGCTGCCACTCCCCCGGAAAACATGGCAGCTCCTGTCATATACGGTAGTCTAATGCGCTTGCGCATATACCGGGGGTTATACGGGAGTTCCAGAAATGCATGTAAAGTGAGACACGGTGTTCCATTAAACCAGCTGAGCAAACTAAGAAGCCTCTATTGCATTAATGTACAGCTCCCTTCCTCAGAGATCCACTGATGAAGGAGGATATTAGTTAGATTAGCGTTTTATAGGGAGAGACTGTGGAGACTCGGGGCGAGACTGTGGCTAAGTGCAGGGCTGTCTTTCAATCGTCTTTCAATCAGAGGGTCGGTGGTTCGATCCCCGGCTCTGGCTCTGCTAGTCGCATGTCGATGTGTCCTTGAGCAAGACACTTAACCCCAAAATTGCTCCCGTAGCTGTGCCTACGGTGTAGAAATGTGATAGAATCTGAATTGTAAGTCGCTTTGGATAAAAGTGTCTGCTAAATGACTGTAATGTAATGAGAGAGTTCTTCCACATCGCCAAGATCCGTTATCACATCATGAAGACTTCCTATACGAGCGTTATCCATTCTGCCCACAAGGAATCATTTATTTACAGACCTTCTGGAGCATACATTGAACACCACACGCTGCAGCCGAGCACTGATGTCTCACACACTGGATGCAGCCTTGAGCTGTTCTGCGAGTGGTACATTGTTGTACAGTGTCGGCGATGTGGAGAACATGGGGAAAGCCGCTGCATGCCGTGCTGTTGGTAAAGTTTATTAGGCGCTTAATAAACTTATGGATGTGTTCATTACATCACCATGGCACATATTGTACTGACTCAGCATTCTGAGTAATGTGTGTGTGCTTAGTGTTTACTTGCTCCCATGTCCTCTTGATGGCTGCGTTGCATACATGAGGGTTAAAGCACTCATAATGATATGACAGTGTTATTAGTACACCAGCATATCATTACTGTAGAACATGATGAAGGTGGACTCATGATAAGAACAGAGAGAATCACACACTATTTATCTTCACTGCTTCAGTTGATTGAATGTCTGATGATGAATAATACACACACACACACAGAACCGCCCACACACAGATTCACACACACATATTCAAACTGCTAGTTCTATATGGTAATCTACACATACATGTATATACACATATATAGTACATGATAATGAGGGCATACAGTACATATATCCTCATATTAATGAGGATCAGTAGATGCTCTTTGGGCTTGTTTTTATCTTATTGTGAAAGAGTTGAGATCATTATTGTCGCTATAGATCTCATTGGATGATGCATTCATTAAGCCTACTGCCAGCAGCTCATTTAAAGACATATCATCTGATTGATTGGGGTGATGAGGCATTAAAATGAGCCGATAAATTTACAACACTTACGCATTTAACGTGTCTGTGATATTTTGCGTGCTTCTTGTCTAGCCCTCGCAGCGGTGGAGGTGTTATATTTAGCCGTGATTATGGTCTTGAATTCCTCATATGCGTTCATGATCATCTCCTGCTCGTCAGCGGAGTAAAAAGAGGCTCTTTCTTTGACTTTATTTAACATTGTACTGTTAGAAAATCATGGTTTCGGTGATCGACGCTTCCCCCTTTTGAAGCAGGATGGGCACGCGCAATTATCCTGATCCTGATCGTCTGGTTCCAATTAACGAGACTGTTTGAGAGGATCAGCCATGGAGGAACCCAGATAGCCTGTCTTCAATCATCTCGTTAATTTAGGCTGCTAATAGGACATTTGATCGACTTTGCTGAACCACGTACGAGGAATGGGGCCCAGATAAACTGATCAGCTGTGAGATCAATACATTGATCTTCATGCCGATTGAATGACGGAGGTGAAGTCAGTGCATCCTCTGTGACATCACAGCTGGTGTGTGTGCTGATTGGCCGGTTTGAGGGTCAGAAATACAAAACGAGACGACAATCGGTCCGTAATCAAAGGTTTCAAATTCTTAAAAATAGAGGGTCAGTAAACGCATCGTAGATACATACACAACAGGTGTGTGTGTCTGTGTGTGTGTCTGTCTGTCTGTCTGTCTGTCTGCGTGCGTGCGTGCGTCTATTAGGGGTGGGGGAAAATATCGATACAGCATAGTATCGCGATATTTTGCGCGCCGATATTGTATCGATACAAGTATCGATATTTTATTATATAAAATATTTTAAAAAATTACTAGAAAAATCTAATCAATTGGTTTTCAGTCCACTAGATGGTGCTGAGTTATTTTCTGGTGAGGTCAGCAAAGGTCCCGGGTCAGCGTCATTGGTAGGAAGTTGGTCAAAACAAAGAGAGACATCTGGCCTCACAACGGGGTTAAATCTGCCAACAGTAGCCAGGCTCATGGGGAGAGTGCAGCGCATAACTGTCTCTCTGCCCTCGACGTCCACGCATCCCAAGTTATACTGAGTTATATAACTCTTATATCCTACTTATAGAAGTTATAGTTCATATTCTGAGTCCACACGTTTGCATTTAGTTAAGTTGGACTATGTAGTAATACAAACAGTTCAGTTTGTCAGGTTCATGCAACATTTATGACATTGTTGGTCAGTCTGTCTGCTTGACAATCATATTCTGCTGCAATAAAAATGATTGAAGTGAGATGAACAGACTGAAAACTTTATCTTGTTAGATAAAACATGTTGACACAGTTTTCCTTTGGGGACATAATTTGTTAAGTTGAAAAAAGTAATAAATCGCAATATAGGCCTATGGTATCGCAATACTCAGAATATCGCAGTATCGTGATAATATCGTATCGCGGGACCTCTGGTGATTCCCACCCCTAGTGTCTATGTGTGTGTGTGTCTGTGTGTCTATGTGTGTGTGTGTGTGTGTGTCTGTGTGTCTATGTGTGTGTGTGTGTGTCTATGTGTGTGTCTATTTGTCGTTGATTCTCAGTCTGAAGGAAACCCGTCCAGCGAACTTGTCTCTCTCGCTTCCTTCGGCGAGAGTGTTGGAGTTGATTTTACACTCGACGTCGATGTCGGTGTTCAGAGAGGCGTTCAGGAACTTCACGGCCACAAGCGGCTGAGTGTAGTTTACCTGAGACATTGAACACATCACACACTTATTATATGACATCACTGCCGTCAGTATAGTCTCACTCGTTCAATAAGGAAGTAATATGTACCCGAGACCATGATTCTACTGGGTCTACTGGATCCAACTGATCTACTGGGTATACTGGACCTACTAGATCCAACTGATCTACTGGACCTACTAGATCCAACTGATCTACTGGACCTACTGGATCCAACTGAACTACTGGACCTACTGGATCCAACTGATCTACTGGATCTACTGGACCTACTAGATCCAACTGATATACTGGACCTACTAGATCCAACTGATCTACTGGACCTACTGGATCCAACTGATCTACTGGATCTACTGGATCCAACTGATCTACTGGATCCAACTGATCTACTGGGTCTACTAGATCCAACTGGATCTAACTGATCCACTGTGTCTAATGGATCTGGTCTACTGGATCCTTATGAGATGAACACATGATTGATTTACTGGAGGATCCTTGAGATGAACGTGATCGACAGTGTTGAGTTTGTTACCTGAGCTTTCTTGCCGTAGTACGGGTAGTACATGAGGTTAAAGGTCCCGTTAGGAGGGTAGTACGCCAGAGGTCCGATCTTATCACCATCCTCCCTCTGCACACACATATAGAGAGACACACACACACACACACACACACACACACACACACACACATAGAGAGAGACACACACACACACACACACACACACAGAGAGAGACACACACACACACACACAGAGAGAGACACACACACACACACAGAGAGACACACACAGAGACACACACACACATAGAGAGACACGCACACACTCACAGAGACACAAAGACACACACACATAGAGAGACACGCACACACTCACAGAGACACAAAGACACACACACATAGAGAGACACACACACACATAGAGAGAGACACACACATACACACACACAGAGATCAATACCTCAGTTCAGACAGAAACCTTAACCAAGAGAGCTTCTGTTGATGTTCTATATTGTGTCTCTGTGGTTCTACATTGTGTCTCTGTGGCTCTATATTGTGTCTCTGTGGTTCTACATTGTGACTGTGGTTCTACATTGTGACTCTGTGACGGACAGACGGACGGACGGACGGACGGACAGACAGACAGACCGGACCTCCTCCCCTATTCGGTTACTAGAAGTTCTCCTCTCTGAAGAGAACGTCTACATCATGTTGACCTGATGGTGACACGTGCTGCCGGTATCAGAGTGTCGTCCTTCACATAGTTCACATAAAAACACTCAACAGCACAACACTGAGACAGGATGTAGCAGACAGACAGACAGATTCAGACCTTTGCTCCACAGGTGACATAAGGAGACTGACCGTCCTTCCCCGGCAACATACCGATCACCTGTAGGGACAGACAGGTAGACAGACAGGTCAGGAGACTCTTTGTAATATATATACGTATTGTATGATCTATGTATACGTGTATCTTTACGTTGACGTGTTAATAAACCAACCCGGTTCAGTTTGATGAGGACACACGGCTGACCGCTGCTATAACCAAAGAAGCGATCAGAGATCCCTGAACATTCCTCCAACATCGTCCGATTAAACTGACACGAACGCTTTGGGTTGTTCCTGACCTGCAGACAGACAGGCAGGGGGAGAGTGAGACGGGCAGAGGTGGACAAGAAGGCAGAGGGTGAGACAGACAGGCAGGCAAAGAACTAGAAAGATGGAGGGTGAGACAGGCAGGTGGAGAGACAGACAAGCAGGTGGGGAGTGAGACTGGCAAGTGGAGGGTTAGACAGAAAGGCAGAGACAGAGGTGGAGGGTGAGACAAGAAGGCAGAGGGTGAGAAGGCAGGCAAGCAAAGAACTAGAAAGGTGGAGGGTGAGACAGGCAGGTGGAGAGACAGACAGGTGGGGGTGAGACAGACAGATAGACTGACAGGTGGAGGGTAAGACAGACAGATAGAGAGACAGGCAGGTGGGGGTGAGACAGACAGATAGATAGACAGACAGGTTTACCTCTCCACTGTCCTCTTGAATGAAGTATTGATCTGGAGAACAGTTATCGTTGGTCTGAACCTGATCTTGGTCTTCGTACGCTGCAGACAGACAGGCGGCAGACAGAGAGACAGACACACAGACAGACAGACAGGCAGAGAGATAATATATATTATTATATATAAATATATGTAACGAGTGATGACATCATTAAATGTTACGATAATGTGAATCTTACGACTCAGGAAGCGGTCGAGGTTCTGGATGAAACCGTTCCAGCTCTCAGATTCTGAGACGGAGAAACTGATCTCCAGCTGGTCACCCTTTGGACGAATCATCATCCCTGAAACATGAGAGCACACGTCCTCGTTAACCAATCACAGGCTGAGCCTCGTTAACCGGTCACAGGCTGAGCCTCGTTAACCAATCATCACCATTGTTACCTGGAGTCTCCAGGCGGTCCTGCCAGGTGGGCTTGTAGTCATCGAGCGTCAGCAGCATGATGTACATGGTGAGAACAAACATGCCCGCCAGAAACAGGTAGAAGACCAGGTAGAAGAGCAGGATCAGACCTGAGGGGGAGACAAAGGGGGGGGGGTCTTAATTATAAAGTAGAGCACTTTCATCCTCTAAATATCATCTTTATAATCCTCTTGACCTACATTCAGTGTGTGTTGGGGGAGGGTATAATCTCTCTGTACCAGCTCTCTCTCTCTTCTCTTCTTCTTATTGGTCACCTTTACATTTTACATTAACAGAAGTCACTTTAATGTTTTACTAATGATGTTACCCTGATGTACACAAGGATGAGTCACTGCACATCTTTTCCTGCTGTACTGAAGACTAATTCTGACTTTAAAGTAATGTGTTTCATCAAATGTCGTCAATGAGGGTCCCCACAAGTACATTACTACCAATGTGTGTGTGTGTGTGTATAATACAGTCCAATCAACCTCGTCTGTCTGCTTAATCCAGATTAACACACACACTGAGTGTGTGTGTGTGTGTCTGTGTGTGTGTGCATCAGTGTGTGTGTGTCCTTCAGTCTCCATCAAGGCCACAATAACCTGGTGCATGATGGGAAATATGACATCATAAGAGTGTAGTTATGTAAAGCAAGAGCAGACTTCAGATCAGTTTATATCACTGACATTATAAAGACTGGTCCGTACGGGTGACTGGTCCGTACGGGTGACTGGTCCGTACGGGTGACTGGTCCGTACGGGTGACTGGTCCGTATAACTGGTCCGTATGGGTAACTTGTTCGTACATTTAAACTGCAGATTATAAAACGGTTTAGTCTTCGTCTGAACACGGAGCTCTGTCATTAGTTGTTTGCTGGTGAAATGCACCATGGGAGTCGTAGTAGTTCACAGGCTTCTTGTAGCTTTAAGGTGCTATTGATCATATTGATCACTTGTTAGAAGTAGGAACCTAATGATTAATTTACAATCATAATAATAATAGTGCTGCTCTATGAACAACAGGTCAATAACATTGTGTTCGTAAACACTTTAAACACATCAGGTTGTTGTTAGCAGCAGTGTTCTCT